TGTGTTATGCTACAAAGTAATACTAATCAATAAAAAATTACAGTTGTTTACAGAGATTTAGGAAACAATTTGGTGGCAGTATGTCTATTGGTGTTCTAATATTTTGATGAATTCAAAGTAATTTTCGAAGATACATTTTTTTGATTCTATATAGAGGTTTTATAATTTTTAATACGTTAAATCCTTAGCGGTAGAATATCACAAATTTCAGGTGATATGTAAGTTAAAAAGCGATGTGAAATATTTTTATTGAATTTTTGAAGTGGGTAGCAATTCGTTTGTTGTACTAATAATATAAACTGTAGGAACAAAATTATGACATGTTTAGTTTTTGAATGCATACATACATAAACTATGAAAGTATAATGTTCAAATATTACCAAGGTCTTCTAAATATATAAGATTAGTGTGATCTGATCTTTTTTTCCACAAGATTATTTTCATAATATAGTTCTTTATTACGTTCAGTTTTTGCAAGGAACTCTTATACATTGCTCCGCACACTAGAATATCATAACGAAAAAAGGATTCAGCTAGAGATTCGTAGTTGGTAAAGTTTATATATTAGCTTCCTCACTTTTTTGTCAGATAATCAACATGATTATTGATGTTATAGAGAAAGCAAGATAGTGGATTTTACTAGCGTTTAATGAAAGACGATACATAATCAAACCATTTATGAATTTTTTCCATGCTTAACTGGACAGAATTTTTGGTTTCAAACCATGTATTTTCGTTGAAAATAACCGTATCATCAGCGTATGATGTAATTCTTGCTTTTGAATTCAAACAGAGTAGAGAATTTATGTAGACTTCAAAAAGTATAGGACCCAGAACGGTTCCTTGGGGGACCCAGAAGGAACGGGAAAATTAGATGATTCAAAACATGTTTTTCATTGTACTGAAGCCTTAGCCAATTATTTCCACCTCAACCTTCCAAAATTTTACAAGGTCATATTCAATATCAAATATATCATTTTATACATCCTTTATCTCGCACCATTCACCATACCATCAATAAATACTGGTCCTTGACGAAGCTTCATCGCCAAAAACTGAATTAAGTTCATCCATGCACTGTTGCTGAGTTAAACCACGTTGAAAGTTGTAAAAAATAATCGCACAAAATGTTCACGATTTAATTCCATTGTTGGGCCGAGATGAATCTTTTAAGTTACTGTAAACAACACAAATAGCGCGCGTATGTCAAAACGTTCTGGGTACGTATAAGCTCAAAAATGTCCAACTTTACGATAGAGCTGTCAGTTGCCAGGTAGCAAAACTAGGGTTGTCAAATCCCGAAACATAAAATGCAACCCTCGTACTCGAATTATCATTATTATCAGAGATTTTTCCAGGTGTTTGGAAAAAATCTTTCCTTTCTCCAGTATTCAAAAGTGGAAACAGAAATGATATTCAGAATTACAGGGGTATCTCGAAAATTTCTTGTATTCCCAAAGTATTTGAATCTTCAATTACGGATGAAATATTCGATAATTTCAAACACGTCATAATAGATGAACAACATGGATTCTACAACATGGTCTACTGCCACCAATTTGGCTGTCTATCAAAACTTCATCACAAATAAGCTTGAGCAAGGGTTCCCAGTTGATGTTATCTACACGGACCTTGCTAAAACCTTCGATTCAGTTTGTCATGAACTATTAATTTTAAAACCAAATAATCTTGGAATAACGGGCAGATACTTGAAATTTATTGAATCCTACCTTTCCGGTAGATCGCAGAAAGTGAGGATAGCTGACAGTGTGTCAGAAACAATTCATGTGACTTCAGGGGTTCCGCAAGGTTCGCACATTGGTCCTATATTATTTCTACTCTTTATTAATGATGTTAAATCAGTGTTTAAACACTGTAATATCTCTCTGTATGCGGACGACCTTAAGTTTTTCAAAACAGTGCAATTTACCAATGATATTGAATGTATTCAGAATGACTTAAATAGCTTTTATACCTACTGTGATACTAATTGTCTAAAAGTTAACATTAAGAAATGTAATGTGTTGAGATTTTATAGAATAAGACAGCCTGTCATTGGAAACTACTCCATTAATGATGCAACTCTTCAAACTGTCAAAAGCTTATGCCATTTGGGAATTACTTTCGATAAAGATCTAAGCTGTATTGATCATGTCAATAATGTCTGTAATAAAGCATTCAGAATGCTCGGATTTATCAAAAGGAATACCCGGCATATTACAGAATATGATGGTAAAAAGACATTATACTTTTCACTGGTTCAGTGTATTTTTGGTGTCCTCTTTATTCTTGTCATAAAGAGAGGCTTGAAAAAGTGCAAAATCGCTTCTCTAAATATATAATTTGGAAACTTGGCCTACCCTACTGCTGATAAAAAATAAATAGGTTCATTTATTTTTAAGCAATTACAATAGTTTATATTAAGGATTTTACTTACATCACTGAACTCTAATGCTTGACTGGTTTCAACAATTGAAACTTTCTTTATGTACCATTTGGGATTTTACAATAATTCTGTAGTGTACTTGACCGATAAATAAATAAATTTATTATTCAACGAATGAATATTATTGTACTTCACACGAGTTGAACCGTTCAAAAAAATTGAGGACCTCAAATAGAATAAATAATTATAGGAATGCAGGCTTTCACAGCTGGCATCAATGTTTTGCCGTGGTCTTCTTTGGTTACAATCTCGAAACGTTTCAACGAAGACCACAACAAAACCTGGAAACCAACCAAAACAGAATAAATGATTAATCAAGACTGAGTACTTGCCTGCTGCCTGAAACTGTTGAGCGGAATTCATCAGCTTCGTAGCCAAGGCGCTTATCGCCAATTCCTGATTCGATATCGCCTGACTGGAAGCTTTAGCTTGCGACGCCTGCAAGTGACTCTGCTAAAAACCAAAAGCATTCAATTAACGATGAACTCAAACATTTCCAGCTACCGCAACTCACCAAAATAGGAACGTTAGCAGTACTTGGCATCTGACTCTGCTGACCCCCGACATTCCCGTTCATGACGGGAGCCTGATTTTGCAAGCACTGGGCCAGCTGCTGCAAGTGTTGCTGCGGCGAATTGGCCTGACCAGCGCTCTGAACCTGCACTGGCTGCTGCGCTTGGGCTACAGCGACGCGCTCCTTGTAATTGGAACTCAGACCGTAACGTATCCTCACCGATTTCCTGCCGCTCTCCGTGAAAATTTCCGTGAACTGATGGATGTACCTGTTGGCATTGGCTCGAGACCCCAACGAAAACCTACACGCCACACCGTTCTGTTTGTCTTTCTTGTGGTCTCGGTCCAAATAAAGTTCCCCCAGGTACTCTGAATTCGAAGGCCTCTGCATTATGGATAACTTGATGTGGTACACCCTAGGGGTGCCCTTGTCTTTGGAAGGCATGTCCGTCTCTAGGACGTACTCCTCTATCAGCTGTGGCAGGCAGTCGCTCGTCTCCTTAGGTCTCTGGTAAATCTTGAAATCATTTATAACGACTTCCTCCGTAGGAACACTGAGTAACGGTGATTCTAAATTAGGCACAGGCACTGGCTTCAAGTCTTCCGAACTTTTCTTCGTCGGTTTCGAGGGTCCTGCTGGCGTTCCTATATTTGGTTTGTTTCGCGTTCGACAGAGAAATTCGTAAAAGTCCAGGCCCTGTCGGTGAGTGAAGTGGTCCAATTTCCTCTTGCGGTTCACCGTCACCTGGGAGAATTTCTTCGCCATCCTTCTGAATTTGTGGGTGTTCCACAACATCTTTCTATTATTCGCTTCTATCACGTCTCGGCAAATGGAGTTGTCGGGGTCTAAACACAAGGTGGGTTCGTTTGCAATCAACAGCTGGCTTTCCAACTGGTCTTTTTCTTCGCTGCCCCATTCGGGATTTTCTTCTACCATGCTGTTTATGTCAGCCATCATACTCTGTAAAAAGCACTTTCAATCTAAATCCATTCGTTTAAACAAACAACCAATGACTATAATGTCATGAATAAGTGGGATTCTGAGTATTTCACTATTCTGAATTTACATCAATAGATAGATAGAAGCAAATAAATATCTCGAAATAAAATTTCAAGGTATTCATCTCACCCAACTACCTACACCTTTGGTCAACGGTCGGCAACAGACGGACCGCGGCCCGTTTGCAGACCGCGAAAGGTGAACCTTGGACCGCCAAATATTGTAAAGTGTTATATACCAAGTATAAATTAATACGTAGGTAAGGTATACTATACCTTTATTAATTAAAGAGTTTCGCAAGATATTTTGGACTCTGAGTTGATCTTCAATTCGTATAAAGTCTTCAGGTGTGATCGCAGTTGTGAATCAAGCTCCAAGACCAGGGGAGGTGAGGTACTGATTTTAATGAAAAACTCGATAAAGGCAAGTAAGGTGATGTCATTAGTAAGGTTTTTGGTGTTTTTGTTATGCTCAAGAGGAAAGGAACACTTCATAATAGGAGGCGTTTATATCCCACCCCAGGCAATTTATTTAAGTCACTGTCAGGCGGTTGAGGAGGTGATTCAGAAATACAATCTTTTGAAGACATTCATTTTTGGTGATTTTAACCTTCCCGAGGCTGATTGGTCAAATGAAGATACTGGAGTTTCAGTTAATTGCCCTCTAGGTTCTAAAGCGTTGGAACGCCAAATATTGTAATGTGTTATATACCAAGTATAGATTAAAACGTAGATAAGGTATACTATACCTTTATTAATTAAAGTAATATTTTTAAGTCACATAGAATTCAACTAAGTATGTACTTATTACAAGTACCTATGTGCTTACGTCACGAGCAGACTGTCACGAGCAGACTGTCAGTCGCAGCGCAAACCGCTGAGCACCATTCGTTTGTTTTGTGATTTTCCGAGTTTTCATAATATTTTCGTACCTATGCTAATTTGGATCCTGAAAAGCGTAAAGTGGACAATGAAAATAGGAGGTTTCTGGCAGAATGGACTGAACAATATTGTTTTATGCTGCCTCATAGGCCTCAAGCGGTTCCAGTGTGCCTTATATGCAATAAAATTGTTGCTACTGTTAAGATTTGCAATTTGAAGCAATACTACGAAACAACTCATCAGCAATTTCACAAAAACTTTCCTCTTGGCTGTGAGGCTCGTAAACAAAAACTTCATGCATATCTCAGTTCTTACAAAAAAAAGCACAAAATTACTAGTTTGGTGCATGAGCGAGCAAGAAAAATCCACAGAAGCAGTGTTACATGTGTACTGGGCGCTTAATAAACACCAGAAACCATTTTCAGATTCTGAGATGGTGAAGGAATGTATGTTGGAAGTAGTCACGACACTTTTTGGAGAAAAAAAAAGATGTCGCTGCATTTTAAAGTATCCCATTATTAGCGAGAGGTAATACACGAAAAACAGAAATTTTAGCTGCTGATATCAAAAACACTCTTGAACAAAACGCACCTTGCTACGCCATAGCACTTGATGAATCATGTGATACTGTTGATGATGAACAAATGTCTATTTTCGTAAGATTTCTTGATATTGAGCGTCAGATTTTTAGGAAAGAGTTGCTAGCAATATTGCCGTTGAAAGATAACACTCGAAGAGAAGATTTATTCAAGGTCATTGATGAGTTTATTACTAAATCTAACATTAGTTATGATAAAATGGTGTTGCTTTCAACTAATAGTTGAACCCCAGCAATGATTTGCAAAGAAAAAGGTGTAGTAAAGATAATCAGGGATAAAAACTGGGGTCTAATATCGTATCAGTGCACAATTCACCAGGCAGCCCTTTGTGGAAAACTTAGTACTACACTCAAAGAAGTGATGGACAACTCGGTCAAGTTGATCAATTATATGATCAAATCGACCGCCGTGTTTGTCGGTGGTTCAAGCCCCAGGCTGAACGATCAATTTTCACTTGCTATCGTCCAACACGTGTTAGGAATCACACGTTAAAAGGTAAGACCCCGTTAGTTCTTAGCTCGCACAAGTTTCGACTTCTGAGGGTTAACGTTCGTGGGGGTGCAACAGCTGGTTAACGGAAAAACAGATTTCAAACAGATGTTTTTAAACAGCACCAACATTTCAAGGAGTTTCTTTTTGAATGTGACTTACTGCAACACCACAATGTTCGTTGGCTAAGCAAAGGTCAAGCTATTAAAAGTTTCTGGGGCTGATAAAAGAAGGAATCTTCTTCTTGCAAAATGTAGATACGGAGGGAGCCAGAAAGCACTTCGAGTTCATAAAAAACAAGTGTAATATGCTCGCGCGGCTTTTCTAAAAGATTCACAGAATTACAAGGAAATGGAAAATTAATATGTGATCTTATACAAAGCGTGTCTGCTTTTCGTCGCAAGCTGGATATCTCTGAAAAAGATATTGCAAGACAAGGTCTGAAATTTGAAGAAAAAATATAGCCAGTTGAGCAAAAAGGGTAATTTTGTTCAGTAAACTACAATTATTATTACAAAACTTACCTTGAGCGTAGGCCTGAGCAAAACATGATGAATGTCGCACTTGAAATGAGGATAAGACCGGCGGTAATCCCTGACTTCAGCTATAATACAACCGCTGTAAAAGAGGTAACTAAATTGTGATTCTAGTATGTCTATTATGAAAGGTGGAAGTTCTTCGTGATCGATATATCGAAGAAGATCATCTTTCTCATAAGGCCACTGAGTGGTTTCTATCAAATTGGCAGTATCTTCGGTATAATTGGGATCGGTCCTTGACATAGTTCTGAAAGCCAGGGAGTAGCCTTTGTTGCCAGGATACAGATTTAGAATCATTGTGTTCAGTCTTTCTCTCGCTACAAGTTTTTCTAACAGAAACGTGTTGTATTTCAGAACCTGAAAAAAGTTTCTTTTACTCCAACTAAATTTGTTATCGTACTGATGAAAAGAAGTTCTCTTGAATCATTTACCGAAGTTTCGTTCTCCTCCTCGTCATCGTTATCCTCATTTTCTTCTTCATATAATTCTAATAGTTTGGCAAAAATATCGAATGGAGGTTTTCCGGAAGGGTTTTCTGTGATTTCTAGTGATGTTGATGCAGATGTTGATGCTTCCTGGGGGCAAAGCAGAGGTAAGGAGGAACGACTTGACTTAATTCTTTTGATTGGTAGCTGAAAAAGAAAAGTTGTCATTTTGGGAATAAGTATGAAACTGGTGGTTATCAAAGTTGTACCATTTACAGTAAATTATCAAGTACGAATTCAATATTATTTATGAGAACTAAAAGGAAATTTTTTTCGCTCTTCTTAAACTACAGGTTGGCAAGGTCTGTAGGCCTCATGTAAAAATAATAGTAATAGTTTATTCATTTGATTATTCAGTATAAACAGGAAAGCCCTAAGTTACAACGTTGTAAAATATGCATGTCCAACTTGTCAAAACAAGGAAGACTTGAGAATTATATATCTCTCTCTCACACACACTAACGAACGCGCATCTCAGGGGAGGTCCTAAGCCGAGACTTTGAAGTCACTTCCTAAATTTGACAAGCTGTATGAAAATTTACTTCAATTTAAAAACAGTTACAAAATTCATATGAATATTGAAATATATGAAATGAAAAGCAACCTAAAAACGAAATGCTGAATAAAACAAGTATAACTAACATCAGAACTAAAAGCTTAAAGCTAACAAACGTACAAGGCATACATCTAAAGATGTATGTACATAATTGACTGCAGACTTTTCTAAGACCTCCAAAGAGTAGGTAAACGAATCAAGTTCTGATGCATTAACCCCTCTTAACATTCTTGACATTGGACTATTGAATCCATCATTGGTAGAATGTGAGTTCTCAACAAAAACAGGTCTATTATCCCTTGTTACTCTTTGCTTGACTCTCAGGCCAACCACAGAGAGGAGTTCTTTTTATACACTAAGTAAGAGGGTCACCACACAACGGATGCACACTCTAAATGTGACCCAATTAATGAACAATACAGAATATTCAATGCTTGCTTAGGGCTCAAGAACCTCGAAGTAGGAATGGGTCAATTGAGGCTGGGCCTGTGGCGGGAAGCGCTTACTACGCAACCTCTGATACAGGAAACAAGCGATGCAATTGAACCCAGGTTTGTGTTTAATACACCCTACAAAATACAAATAAAGCAGAACATAGAGTCAGATGATACAAATGCAATACGGATTTTCACAGACGGCTCAAAAACCAAAGAAGACTCAGGATGTGGAATGTACTCCAGATCACTAAGCCTAAGAATTAAGTGGGGAATGGGAAGAAATACCAGCGTGGTCCAAACAGAACTGGCTGGTATCTCAATCGCCACAAAAGAATTAACCAAGAATTGCCACAAAAAATAACAATCTGCACTGATAGCAGACAAGCCCTATTAGCCTTGAACAGACAGCGTATAACCTCAGGGCTAGTACTAGAGTGTAACCATGATTTAGCCAAAGCCTCGGTAGATAATAACATTATCCTGAGGTGGGTTAAAGGGCACGACAGGAGTAAAGGTAATCGCATTGCTGACTTTTTAGCCAAGGAAGCGGCTGGACTAAGAATTTTAGGACCCAGTGCATCATCCCTACTGATGCAGCAAAAGCATCATCTACAAATCGGGCCAAAGTACCGATAATTCAACTTTATTCTTCTTTCTTCATTGCCAATCTGTACATGAATGAATTAGCCATGAAAGGAGTCAGTAGAATTTCTATCAAACGATTTTAATGTGGCGTAGTTCAGATTAAGAATTCTTGAATAGATTAATTCATAATGATGTCAAAGTAATTAGAAAATGGTGTTTTTTTTCAATGTCTTCCAACTTGTCAAAACAAGGAAGACGTGAGAATTATATATCTCTCTCTCACACACACTAACGAACGCGCATCTCAGGGGAGGTCCTAAGCCGAGATTTTGAAGTCGCTTCAAATTTTAGGACCCAGTGCATCATCCCTACTGATGCAGCAAAAGCATCATCTACAAATCGGGCCCAAGTACCGATAATGTAACTTTATTCTTCTTTCTTCATTGCCAATCTGTACATGAATGAATTAGCCATGAAAGGAGTCAGTAGAATTTCTATCAAACCATTTTAATGTGGCATAGTTCAGATTAAGAATCCTTGAATAGATTAATTCATAATGATGTCAAAGTAATTAGAAAATGGTGTTTTTTTTCAATGTCCCAAACACCAATGTTGTAGCTTTCAGAAGGCAGATTGAAAATATTTCACTAGGAGTAGTCAATTGAGAACAATCATACAAAGTTCCTGGGGTTACACATTGATAGCAGACTGAATTTCGATAATTACATTGAAGCTCTCAAAAGCAAACTAGCATCTGGATGTCAAGCATTTTTTGTCAAATCCAATGAACACGGACTGTCCAACGCAAATATGGTTTATCATTCAATAATCGAATCTCACCTGCGTTATGGCATTGTCACAGTAGAGTAATACAACCAGTTACCACCTGATCCGTGCGAGTTGCCGGAGACCTTCATCCGGTCTTAGGATGAGATTTTCATCCAACGCGTTTAGTGCTGTAGTATCGAAGGATTTAACGTTACCAGGGATATCGGATGAGTCATAATAAACGGTCGGAAATTGATATTGTGTATAGTTTATTCGCTGCTGTTATTATTTNATAAAATAATATTCCATGTCCTTTTAATTTCATGTTAATGACTGCAAATATTAATATAAAGTGAATAATTCACCACACACTAATATTTTATTTGGATTTGTGGATTTTTTCAGTTAAAAAAAAATACTCACTTCACCATCCTCACATGCTGCCTCCAGGCTTTGCATAATTGAATACAATCAAATATCAACATTCAGGTAGCCACATCTCATTTCAAATTACCAATTTTCAATATACAGAGTGTATCTGATTTGGGAATCACCTAAAAAAATAATTGATTTCAGTTCTACTAAAACAATACAAAATTTCCTGTCAACTCTCTATTTTATTCCTTCATTTTCAAAATCTTTCAAAATGCGGGGAATCTGACAGGTGACGATGACATTAGAGAAAGTTTCATCCCTTCAAGAATGAATTTTGTAGGTCATATAAACAGAACAGTCCTCCTTTTAAAGAACAGAAACTCACCTGACATTTGCGATAATGAATATACAAAAACATTTTTACTCGGCTTTGTACAATTAGAATTAGGTCCCACATTCCACATTCGTATCTTACGTTTCCAATAAGGCCGCAAGAGTAACCTAACCCCTATCGTCACAAAAATATCAATTCCTCGCAGCTCATATTAAATAAATATCTAGTATAATATAAACGACAACTTGCACTCAACCGTAAATAGTTCAAAAACAAACCATAAACACTTCAGATATCAGTATTTTGGCAAAATTGTAGAAAACCCCAGTTTACAAACATACTGGGTACCCATGGCGGACCTCTATCGGTAATTTATTTTGCAACTATAAATGTCTTTGACGGATATATTGGCGGGAGTATTCAAAAACACAGTTTACTGAATAGTTCTTTTGGACTTTTACATTGTTCTATAAGAATGATTTTGGTCAGTGATCCTCTGAAAACTGCCAATTCTAATATATCTCGAAAACTATTTCGTTCTCAAATGAAAATTGGTTTTAGCAGTTCTCCTGTAATCTTATACGTCGGAAGGATAACTCAGTTGTATACGCACATGTTGATCCTTAAGCAACACATGTATGACGTATCCTCATCTGACGTCACCATCAATGTTGTCTGTCATTATTTTTAAACGTTTTTTTTTTTTCATTTATTTGGCCCTAACTTTCAGGAAAACTTCAATGATTCTTTTGACCACAAAATATTCTAACGCTGTCTGTTCAGAAAANGTTCAAAAAATAAGGTAATTTTTTTTCTAGAACATCTTCAAATGATTCATCAATTTTTATTCTGTCCCCTTGAAAGTAGTCCCCCTCAGATATAATGTTCTTGAACTCTCTCGGTGATTCGATGTTTATTCTCCTTCATCGTCGCAAAACTCCGTCCTTTTATAGATCTCTTGAGTCTTGGGAACAAGAGAAAGTGCCAGGACACCAAATCTATTGAATATGGTGGCTGAGACATGATTACGTTGTTGTTTTTGGTCAAAAAGTTATGAACAAGACATGACATGATGAGTGAGCAGATGCATTATTGGGATGCAAAAGCCATTAATTGTTTTTCCACAATACCGGACGTTTTCTTCGTATTGCTTCTCGAAAGCGACACATAACTTCAAAATAATACTCCTTGTTGACCGTACGACTATGTGGCAAAAGCTCGATGCACGAAGCCACGGTATTTGAAGAAAACAGTGAGTAGAACCTTGACATTTGATCGAAGTTCGCGTGCTTTTTTGGTCTTGGCTCTCCTGTGTGCTCTTCCAGTGGATCAATTAGATGTGATGTGCTGCGGCCTCCAAGGCGAGCGTCGTCATTCACATCTTCTCGACCTTTTGTGAAAGGCTCGTACGTATTGTCTAAGAATATATCTCATACAGTTCACGTATACCAAGAACCAATTACTTTAAACCATGAATTCTATATTCTTCAAAGGTTTTCGTGAATATTGTTGTAAATCATGTTCGAAAGAAAATAACGCCGGCCGCCACTGGTAGCCATAAACCAATCGTGACGTAGCTAATAAGAGCGCGCGAATGTACGATGATTCTCCGCCTTTCGAGAAGCAGCGAGAATGATGCTACCGACTTTGGCAGAACTTCGGCGAAATTTCTACGGCATTCGATTACGATATTTAAACGCTAACTGCAAGCATATCGACAGTCAAGTGGAGGTTACAGTGCGGTACGCGAAGTGATTTAGTAAGGCGATAAACATTCAAATAATAGTTGAAGTTTTAGTTAAAGTGTTTGTTTTATTTAAAGTGAAATAAAGTTAAGTTATTCACTGTAGTCAATTATTGGTCAACCCACGGGTAAAAACGTAACAATATAGTGAATTACCCAGTGATAAAAAAATAGTACTTTACTAAACAATTTCAAATCCAGTTTATTAATTGTCACAATGAAAAATCTTCTTTTTTATGTACTCAAGTTCATTTAAATTGTTATTAGGGTTGATTACACAATTAATATTTTTCTACTGTTTCATTAATTCTAATCAGTGTACTATCCTAAATTATAAATATTCATGTATACATACCTCAATGAAGATCTATCTATAGAAGTTGAAAAATTGCAAAGGTGGACATTTTCAACAATGTGACATTTACATCATCTAAAAAAATCATCTTGAATTTACGAATGAAATTGCATGAATTGCTTTTTTGGCGAGTTCAATCAATCAATAATTCATTTCCCATAATTGACAACATACACATTATAGGGATAGTCACAGATACTACACAACTATAAAACTTACAAAATAATGAGCGTATATTACAAATAAGTAAATTACCTACACAAAAATTCGGTCACAGCATAAAAAACTTTGTCTAATAAAAATATTTTGAGTTCTTTTTTTAATTCTACTTCCCTAGTACAATTTCTTACTGACTCATGTAATTTGTTAAATAACTTTGGCCCAAGACAGTTTGGTGATGAGCTGGTAATATTCAATCTGGCAAAAGGTATAGGTACGCAAGTGGTTCTTTTGTCTTGTATTGATGTTATGTGTGTTATAATTCTTTGGGATTCCTTTCCTATTTCTATAGACAAATAAACATAGGTATCTCAAAAATAAATAATCCAGAGTTAAAATGTTCAGTTTTCTGAAAAGATCTCTGCAAGTGTTGTCTTGATTTTCCTGCTAAGCACCTTACGATTATTTTTTGTGCAATAAATGTGTTCCTAGAATGTATGGAGTTGCCCCAGAAATGAATCCCATATCTCAAAGGAGATTCCACCTGTGCACGGTAGAAGTTCATGATAGGAATTTCACAGTATCACTGGTTACAATTTCTTGACTAGATAGTTTAATTTTGAAGTCTTCACTGTGTTGTTGGGCTGTCTGAAATTTTATGATAGTTGATTTGTCTGGATTGATAAATTAATTTGACCGAAATCACTTCATCAAAGAGTCTAATTTAGATTATTTGTATTCATTTTGTAAGATATTGTTAGAAATAATCAGTGATATATCATCAGCATATAATGTACCTGAACTGTATCCTACGAAATATTGTACTGATCATTATAATGTTGAGAAGAAATAGTGTAGGGTCTAAAATAGAGCCTTGCGGGACACCTACATTGACTTATGAGTTTGAAGATGATACATTTTCTACTTTTTTATGATTTTTATACTTTATGCTCACATATTGCACACGATTTCTCAAAAATGATGCTATTCAATTTAGAGAAACATCCCTCAATCCGTAAGAATGCAGTTTATCTAGTGGCTTTGTATGATCGACACAGTCGAACGCCCGACTAAGATCACAAAAAATACCCACTGGGCACTCGCCGGCCTCAATGAGTTTCAATATTTCTGAATGAAAACACTGTATAGCCGTGTTGGTAGACATACCAGGGCGGAAATCATGTTGTTGTTCGCTTACAATTTTAAATTTGTTTAAGAAGTTCTCTAATCTATCAAGAACAGCATATTCTAATATTTTGGAAAAGCTACTTGGAACAGTAACTGGTCGATAATTACTGAACTGTCGAGTATCATTCCTTTTGTGAATTGGAATAATTTTTCCTATTTTCATCATTTGTGAGAAGTGTCCTGTTTAGAATGACAAATTTACCAAATAAGTCATCGGAAGGATAATATGAGGTAGTGATAACTTTATTAGAAAGTTCGGGATTTCGTCCAACCCAGCAGATTTTTTATTTTAAATTTTGTTATGTAGAAAGATTTGTAATTCCTCAGAAGTGAATAAATTCAGTTATTCATATGAAAACCAACTTTAAACAAAAAAAAAAGTGCGACAAAGTAAAAAAGAGTTCGGAAAAAAGCAGTGGCATACAATTCTTCTTCTTTGAATGATTCAAAACCTAAAATAGTTTTTGGGAAAAGCCTTTTTGACTTTTAATTTCTGGAACTCATAGATTTATTGAAAAGTCAATTTTCAATCATTCACGCTTTATTTGTATAATTTAAGGTTCAATGAAACAACTATGACATAACTTATGTATATTGTCTGTTTTAACATATCACAATAAATATCATTAAATTGATACAAAACACTAAAGTATTTAACTATGAAATAATTGCAAAAAAATGTACAAATCTTTTACATAATGTAGTCTACAACTTTCTCTCTTGACAGGAATAATGAACTACATCTCCATTGGGATATCGAACGAGAGCACTGAAAAAAATCAAGTTTCTTAGAGTCTATAACATTAACGTATTATTATTATTATAAGAAAGTCAGTAATTGTCAATATGATAAAACTCATAAATGAAATTTAAAAAAAAAACAAACTGAAGAAATCACTCCGAAATTATTTTTACCACAAACCAGTTTAGAACTTTCCAGAAGATTTTTGCAAGTCCCAAATTAATCCACTAGAGCAGGGGTTCCCAACCTTTTTGCACCTGTCTACCACTCGACTTTTTGAGAAATATTGGGGTACCACCAGACCTAAATATTTTAATAAATGTATAATATTTACTCTTCTAAAAGTGTTCAAAGGCTTTTTTAATTAAATTCCTGAGAAAACTTCATATTTAATGGTTAGATATTTGTTTATTTATAACATGCTTTTAATAAAG